ACTTTCAAATCTAATAATTCGATTTTAACTTTTAATATTAAAATTTAATTAATTAAAAATTCAATTCATACCAATTACTTGAAAAATTTTTTTAAAAAAAGAAAAAAAAACTTACATTTTCAAGTTTCCCCAATGTTCAAATAAATAAATAAATTCTTTTATGATCGATGAGTGAAAACCGGCAGGTACAGACGTGGAAATAGAATTCGTTCCTGATCACAAGTAGAGTGAACATAAACTTCAGAAAAAAATGCAGTGTAAAAAACAAAACAGACGTCAACGTCGGTCGGTCCTTCTCTGAATCAGACGACGTGTGCCATGACGACATCACGGAGTTCGCCACTTATATATATATATATTTTTTGACCAGCTAAATGGTTAGGAAGTTAGTTTGTTAGCAGCTGAAATTTTTTCAAGAAAGTAAAAGTTTCACCCCTCATTTGAGGCCCGCGACCATTAGGTCGCAAGTTGGTAGAGTTTACGGCGATGGTAGAGTTTGAAACTCTGACCTCTGCCTCACCCAAACCCTAAAACTTAGGGACCAACCAATTGAACCACAGGCCCAGTTGACTCGCCACTTATATCATATGCGTAGTTCGCCACTTATATTATATCATATGCGTACAACCCCCCATGTAAATGGCTGGGCATTTGAAAACCGAATCGATGGTCATCTAAAAATGGAATTGAAAAGATGAATTCGATTCGATTTTAATAGTTTTTTATTTTTATTATTTTGACTTTAATGTTAATCAAATAATTTTTTATTTAATTTTGGTTGAAATTTTTAAAAATTAAAAATTAAAAATATGATAAATATGATAAATATAATTTATTATTAAAAAAATAATTAATTAATATTTATTTAATAAAAATTGAAACTGACTCGATTTTATTGAACACATTCAAGGGAAAAAAATCTTTGTATTTAAAATGTTAAAATATTTAATAATAAACATATGATAAATATAATAAAATATAATTTATTATTAAAAAAATAATTAATTAATATTTATTTAATAAAAATTGAAACTGACTCGATTTTATTGATACTGAATTGATTGGTTTGTGAACACTTCAATTTGATTTCGATTCTCAAAATTGAAAAAAAAATTTCGGTTATTTTAAAATTGATTTCGGTTTTAACCGAAACCGGTTTTTGCCCACCCCTGGCCGCTTTAATATTGCATCCGCTGTTGTTTCACTAACTCAACGGCAGCTGATCGGAAGGGACATCACTGACGACCTCCATGCATAGTCTGTGGAAAAAATTAATGCTTCTAATGAAAACTCTCGACCCTCTTGTTGTTCGTTTTTGATGAAATAATAATTAAAAAAAAAGAGTGAAAAAGGATTCTTGCTTTGTGCACATTTGGACTCTACGAAGAGACAAGGACACACCCTTTTCTGGGGAAGTTTTGGGGTTAGTTTCTGCTTTTCTATGGTTTTATTTCTTTTTTTACAAAAAAAAAGACAATCTTTTTTTGTAAATCTGTTTTTGAATGATTGGATGCAGCCATAATGCGTTTCCTGTTTCTTTTGGAGCTTTGTTTTCTATATTTTTCACTGTTACGTTGATTTGAATGAGTATTTTTTTACGTTCGTGAAAATTCCACTAGAAAATGGATGATTTCTTCTTGAGACCTTCAAAATTTTTGTTGCGTTCTGAGATTTGTTAATGATTAATGGAAACTGGTTTCTTTTCTGGGTTTTCCTTATAGGGAGTATATGCACCAGAACTTAGTGAAAAGTAATTGCTGAGTGAAGGATAATTCTTGAATTTTAATCTGTAAAGGTATGTTGTTGATTGAGAGGATGTACTTTTTGTCCAGCAATTGCGTTTCAAAATTTCAATTCCACTTCATTGGACGCAAATTCTTTCATAGAAGCTCTACTGAAACATTCCTTTGCCTTGAAAATTCAATCTTTTTCTACTTGTTCTGGTTCCTAATGACAGATTTCTAGCTTTTGCATGTCATCTTTCAGTTGCATTTATTAATCACTTTTCTTCATATTTTCCCCACTTTGCTGTCTGAGTGGGCCGTGCGGTATGGAATTAATCATTAGCATGTTGATTTCCTTTTCATTTGGGTTCTTTGAGAAGTTAATTTACTGGTTTTGGTATTAAACATTAATTTACTAAGGGGTTGTCTAATATTAAGCGCTTGAGATTCTAAGTTGAAGATTTCAAATTCAAATATTGAGTTAAGTAAAGAGGAATTTGGGAAAAGGAAAGAGATATCCCTTTTATATAACTTATTATAACAAAAAAAATTAAACGTGAATTTCTTTTTCCTGGAATGTTCAGGGTTTGAAGATTAAAGAAAAGGGAAAAGATGATGGAGGGTTTGTGGACAATGCTCTGTGGGGAGTCTGCTTGTTTGGATGGAGATGGAAAGCCATGCAGTTCAAATTTTGTGCTTTTCAAGGATCCCTATTCATGCATTAATCATGCCTTGATAATTTGTTTTGATATAGTGCTCTTAGTCTTGCTCTTGTTTACTATGATTCAGAAGTCATCATCCAAAATAGCTCAAATTCCTGCTCGTTTTCAGCATCGTTCTTCTTTGCAGATGTTTTCTGCCGTTGTTAACGGTTGTATTGGACTGGTGTATTTGTGCTTAGGTATTTGGATTTTGGAAGAGAAGTTGAGGAAAAATCAGACTGCTTTGCCTTTGAAACGGTGGTTGCTAGTGCTGTTTCAGGGCTTTACATGGTTATTGTTAGGTTTAACCGTGAGCATTAGGGCAAAACTACTTCCTAGGATACCATTGTATCTACTGTTTATTCTTGCATTACTGTTTGCAGGAATTGTCAGTACCCTATCCATTTCTGCTGCCATTTTAAAAAAAATTGTGACGGTGAAGATAGCATTAGATGTTCTGTCCTTACCTGGGGCAATATTGTTGCTGCTATGTGCTTATAGGAGATATCAGTATGAAGAGAGTGATCAGAGTGCAGAGGAAGCTGGCCTTTATGCCCCTTTAAACACTCAGGCCAATGGAATTGGGAAAGCTGATTATGTGGACAAAGTTACTCCATTTGCAAAAGCTGGTTTCTTCAGTAAAATGTCATTTTGGTGGTTGAACCCGCTGATGAAAAAGGGTAGGGAGAAGACTCTTGATGAGAAAGATATACCCAAGTTACGTGGAGCTGAGACGGCAGAGAGCTGCTATTTGAGATTCTTAGAGTTATTGAACAGACAGAAACAGGCAGCACCAGCATCTGAACCATCCATTTTATGGACAATTGTACAGTGCTACTGGAGAGAGATCTTCATATCTGGGTTCTTTGCTTTGCTAAAGATACTCACTCTCTCTGCTGGTCCTGTGCTTCTTAACGGTTTCATTTTGGTCGCTGAGGGCAATGCAAGTTTTGAATATGAGGGTTATTTGCTGGCCATATCGCTTTTCTTCTCAAAGACTTTGGAGTCCTTATCTCAAAGGCAGTGGTACTTTCGAAGCAGACTAATAGGCTTGAAAGTGAGGTCTTTGCTCACTGCAGCCATATACAAGAAGCAGCTGAAACTATCTAATGCTGGTAGGCTGATGCACTCTGGTGGTGAAATAATGAACTATGTCACAGTTGATGCATACAGGATTGGAGAATTTCCTTTCTGGTTCCACCAAACGTGGACAACAAGCCTTCAGCTTTGTATTGCATTAGTAATTCTCTTCCGTGCAGTGGGACTAGCAACAATTGCAGCCCTGGTGGTTATAATCATTATGGTCGTATCCAATTCTCCACTCGCCAAGTTACAACATAGGTTTCAAAGTAAGCTAATGGCTGCACAAGATGAAAGGCTAAAGGCTTGTTCGGAGGCTCTTGTGAATATGAGGGTGCTTAAACTCTATGCTTGGGAGGGACATTTCAAGAAAGTTATAGAAAGTTTAAGGGATGTGGAGTACAAGTGGTTAAAAGCAGTGCAATTGCGAAAAGCTTATAATAGCTTTCTCTTTTGGTCAACCCCTGTTTTTGTCTCTGCTGCTACCTTTGGTGCATGCTATTTCCTGAAGGTTCCTCTGCATGCCAGTAATGTTTTCACTTTTGTGGCGACATTACGTCTTGTTCAGGATCCCATTCGAACTCTACCTGATGTCATTGGGGCAGTCATACAAGCTAAGGTTGCATTTGGCCGTATTGTAAAGTTCCTTGAGGCACCAGAACTACAAAGTGGGAATGTTCGGAAGAAGCGCCATATGGAGAATGCAGACCAAGCCATTTCCATCAAATCAGCTAGTTTCTCATGGGAGGATAATTCATCAAAACGTACCCTTAGAAATGTAAGTTTAGAGGTTAGGATGGGTGAAAAAGTAGCTGTATGTGGAGAAGTTGGCTCTGGCAAGTCAACCCTTTTAGCTGCAATTCTTGGAGAAGTTCCTAATGTCCATGGATCTGTAAGTCATAAATTCGTCTCCTTTTATTTTAATAATAGAATCAATTATAAACTTTTCTTTAGCTTATCCTGCCATAGAACTTCCATTATTCAGCAGGGCTTAGTAGCATAGATGTTTTTCTTTCATAAAATAACAATAGTTCCCACTCACTAATATGTTGTGTTTATGGAATGTACAGATTCAAGTATTTGGGAGGATTGCATATGTTTCTCAAACAGCCTGGATTCAGACAGGAACTATACAAGAGAACATTTTATTTGGCTCTTCCATGGATAGGGCACGATACCAAGAAACACTTGAGAGGTGTTCCTTGGTGAAGGATCTTGAGTTGTTTCCTTATGGTGATCTGACAGAAATAGGTGAAAGAGGAGTCAATCTAAGTGGTGGTCAGAAGCAGAGAATTCAGCTTGCCCGTGCTTTGTACCAAAATGCTGACATATATCTCTTGGATGACCCATTCAGTGCTGTTGATGCCCACACAGCTACAAGTTTATTTAATGTTAGTACACACTCAGCTGCATGCTTCTACCATGATCCACTAAACTGTTTGATTTTTATTTCTGTTGAGAGCTAACTTAAATCTTTACAGGATTATGTTATGGAAGCACTTGCAGGAAAGGCAGTCCTCCTCGTGACCCATCAAGTTGATTTCCTGCCAGCATTTGATTCTGTTTTGGTTTGTTTATACTATCTCCATTATCTTTTGAGTTTTTTTAAAAGATTATTCTAAATTATCTTTGGGAAAAATTGTTTGAGTTAATTTTGATTTTGTTAACAGTTAATGTCAGATGGGGAAATCCTACAAGCAGCTCCTTATCATCAACTGTTGGCCTCAAGCCAAGAATTTCAGGACCTTGTCAATGCGCACAAAGAGACTGCTGGTTCTGGAATAGTTGCTGAGGTTAATTCCTCCCAGAAACATGGAAAATCTGGTAAAGAAATCAAGAAGAGTTATGTTGAGAAACAGTTTAAGGAATCAAAAGGTGATCAACTAATCAAGCAAGAAGAAAGGGAAAAAGGAGACATAGGGTTAAAGCCATTCATGCAGTATCTCAATCAGGACAAAGGCTTTCTGTTCTTCGGCATGGCTGTTCTTGCTCACCTAACATTTGTGACTGGTCAGATTTCACAGAATTCTTGGATGGCTGCTGGTGTTGACAATCCTAAAATTAGCACGCTGAAATTGATTGCGGTTTATTTGGTTATTGGATTTGCCTCAACTTTATTTTTACTATGTAGATCTATTTCCACAGTTACCTTGGGTATGCGATCATCAAGATCACTATTTTCACAGCTTCTAACTTCCCTTTTCCGATCACCTATGTCTTTTTATGACTCCACTCCTCTAGGAAGGATACTTAGTCGTGTAAGCATCTCAATCACCAAAAATGAATGTGATAGAAACACTTCATGTAACTAACTGTGTTATCTTTCTTTCTTTTTTGTTCATGTACAGATCTCCTCAGACCTGAGTATTGTTGATCTTGATATCCCATTCAGCTTAATCTTTGCTTGTGGGGCCACCATAAATGCTTATAGTAATCTTGGAGTACTGGCTGTTGTTACCTGGCAAGTCTTATTTGTTTCAATTCCAGTTGTTTATGTAGCAATTCGCTTGCAGGTAATACTATGAGTTTCTTTTACAAGACAAGTTCAGGATATCATCATGTAAATTTAACTAACCTTGTGAGTGTTTTTTTTTTTTTTTTTTAATACAGAGATATTATTTTTCCACTGCAAAAGAGTTGATGCGTATAAATGGCACGACAAAGTCCTTGGTAGCAAACCATCTTGCTGAGTCCGTAGCAGGAGCCATGACAATAAGGGCTTTTGAGGAGGAAGAGCGATTCTTTGCAAAGAACCTAATGCTCATTGACACTAATGCTAGTCCTTTCTTCCACAGTTTTACAGCAAATGAATGGTTGATCCAACGGTTAGAAACACTCAGTGCATCTGTTCTTGCCTCTGCGGCACTCTGCATGGTTTTGCTTCCTCCTGGGACTTTTAGCCCTGGTTAGTATGTAATAAATTTTATTCAAGTGACAGAATTACTGTCTCCTATTGATTCAAAAATCTCATTTAAGTATTGCCTCTCAGAACTGAATTCATTTAATTATGAAAAGCTACTAACAGTTGAAAATGTTATTGCAGGGTTTATTGGAATGGCTCTTTCTTATGGACTTTCATTAAACATTTCCCTTGTTATGTCAATTCAAAACCAATGCACTATAGCAAATTACATAATCTCTGTTGAAAGACTTAACCAATACATGCATGTCCCGAGTGAAGCTCCTGAAGTGATAGAGGGGCAACGACCCCCGCCGAGTTGGCCATCTGTTGGGAAAGTGGATATCTATGATTTGCAGGTAAATTTTGTGCTTGTATATATGTTCTTCCCTATGACAGTAAGTATACTGACAAAATTGATTAAAAAACAGATCAGATATCGGCCTGATGCACCACTAGTACTTCGAGGCATAAGTTGCACTTTCCAAGGGGGGCACAAGATTGGTATTGTTGGCAGAACTGGCAGCGGGAAGACTACTCTAATCAGTGCTTTATTCCGCTTGGTGGAGCCTGCTGGAGGAAAAATCATAGTAGATGGTATTGACATCACTAAAATTGGACTTCATGATCTGAGGTCACGATTTGGAATAATTCCTCAGGATCCAACTCTTTTTAATGGGACTGTGAGATACAATTTGGATCCTCTGTCCCGACATACTGACCAGGAAATATGGGAGGTTAGTGTCCATTATTTCTTTACTAAGTATACTAAGTAACTACTCTTATTAATACTAGAAAGTATGATTTACTTAGCTGTTTATGGCTTACAACTGATTCTTGTGCTCTATATCTTGGTAGGTTCTTGGTAAGTGTCAGCTTTGGGAAGCTGTTCAGGAAAAAGAAGGGGGATTGGACTCCTTAGGTGAGTTTCCTGTTATTCAACTATGTGTCCACCATATTGTTTCTAATGATGATTCTTAGTGACAACCTCAACTGGTTGTGCAGTTGTGGACGATGGATCAAACTGGAGCATGGGGCAAAGACAGCTTTTCTGTTTGGGCCGTGCCCTTCTCAGGAGAAGTCAAGTATTGGTGCTTGATGAAGCAACTGCATCGATTGACAATGCAACTGACTTGATTTTGCAAAGAACTATTAGGATTGAATTTGCTGGTTCAACTGTTATCACTGTGGCACACAGGATACCAACTGTGATGGATTGCAACATGGTTCTCGCGATCAGTGATGGTGAGTTTCATTTCCCTCCATTCTCACACCTCCTAGATACAAATATGTTCTTCCTTGAATGTACGTTTTCATTTTTTGTCTTTTATGAGCTTTACCAACACATCCAAGACATGAAACTTACTATGGTTTTTGCTATCTTTCAGGAAGAATTGTGGAGTATGATGAGCCGATGAGGTTAATGGGGAGAGAAGGGTCGCTATTTGGGCAACTTGTGAAGGAATATTGGTCTCATTACCACTCTGCAGAATCACATTGAAGCTTCAGAGATTTTTTCTCGTGTATCTCTTTTTACTCTGACTATTAGCACTTCAGAGATGGAAAGCATGTAATTTTATGGTGTGTAGGTCCAAATAACACCACATGCAGCATTAGAGAAAAAGGACAGTTGCATTGGTGTTTTCAAACAATCATATGAATGTATCATTAGTTTCTAAGTGAAAAATAATTTCCCAATTTTTTCATGAGGCCTCAGATTCTTTATCATCTCCATCTTGCTTAGGTAGCTTATGTTGTCAACAATTTGGAATCTGGATGATATATGCCTGACCCCAACTTGACATAAAAAATACTGAATCAAAATGCTAGGTTGTTTTGCAAACAACTAAGAACTATAATTTTTCTCCTGTGCCTCCTTCTCTGCTAGGATTTGGGTTTGAGGTTGTGGGATTCTTCCTTCAAGATTTCTTTCCCATTAGGGAGTTGCAATCTTTCTTCTAAATTCATCTATAATCTACTACTCTTTTAGTTTTCTTTTTCTTTTTCTTTTTGTTTACAAGCTATTACATCTTTCTTCATCTCCTCTATTGAAATAAAAAAAAAAAAAGGCAAAAAGAAAAAAACCAAAAAATACAAATATCAAGGAATTGTCGCAATTCTTTAAAGTTTGCTGCGTTTTGTTCTTTGCATGCTTGATCGTCAATTGTTTCTTGCGTTTTGGCTACGGATTGTCCGCAGGTTGGTTTTGTGTACTGGAGTGCAGTGCAATGGAGCAAGGTCGCTGGTTTGTTTTGGGTGAATTTGGTGAAATTCGACTGAATTTTTTCTTTACTTTGAGCTTAGAATATATGGTGGAAGGCTGCTGTGTTACCACGGACACCCATCATCCAAATTCCAGGGGTATCAGTAGTCAAAGACGGATGTTTTGGACATTGTCTGAAGATTTTGTTTATATGGTTTTATTGAATCACGTCTTATTCAAGAATATTATATGATCATACAAAAAGAAAATAAAAAAAAAACTAATTTTTGGGGTGGCCTAATGGTTAGTGGAATAGTAATATTTGTAGGGTAATATGGTGAAAAAGGAATGTTATATTGCCAAGTTAATTCCTTTACCTGAGATTGATACAACAATTGAGATTACCTAATGGTTGAAGAAACTTAGAAAATAATATTTCTACATCATGTAGTTTGGTTATTACCTCTACAATCACATGCCAATATCTTATGTCTGTGTAAATTATATTGAAAAGAGGCTTAATTGTCATATCTTGAATATGGGTCTAACTATACTTTTCATTTACACAATTGATTGCCCTTTAAACACATTAACCATATTAATCAAGGGCTTGATTATTATTTGTATTATAGGTTTGCTTCTTTGTTTTTATATACAGCCTATATAGCAAGCCATGGATACACTGTCAAGCTTCTACTCTGTATTAATATATCCTTGGTTTTATTAAAAAAAAATATGATATATTGTTTTTTATTCTTATTTTTATTGTTTTGGGGGTGTGTTTGGAGGGGGGCAAAATCAAATTTCTAGTTAAAAGATAAGCACTTAGGCCAAATCAAATTGCAGCATAAACTTTCCAGTCTTGTTTTTGACAGGACAAAACAGGGTAACATAGACATAAAGCAAAAGAATCCCAGGTTAAGATTCTTATAAATATGGAAGTAGCAGAAGTTACAACTCTCAAAGTTCAAGAAGAGGAGGAAGGACTGGCATTTGATTACAGAAACAACCCTATGTAATTCCATTTGAGATTTCTTTCTTTCTTTTTGAAGTTATGCATAAGCAGAAGCTCTTAAGTAGTCTTTATGGTCCTCCAAGAATTGCATTTTCAATATCCTGTCTGCTCAATGCATAACTGAATCTCCTCTCCACATCCCTTTCTAAATTCCCAGGTCCACTCTTCAAGTACCTACATCACATGATAAATCCTCTCAGACCAACCATTGATAAACTTTAAAAAACAGAGGCTATGAAAAAAGCTTTAACAAGCTTCTGGTTATAAAAATCAAAACCCACAAAGCTATGCAAATGCTTGGAGGGTTTTTTTCAGGCAGTCAAACTCACAGTGAATATCTGAGGATAAGACAATGACCTGATCCAACTAAATGCACATTGGAATCAATTTGAGCTCCAGCAAGGCAGCAACAAAACAATCAAGCAATCTTTCGAACTAAAGGCTCTATTTTATAACACAATAAATTTTCTTCCCACCAACCCCAACAACAACCAAGACTGGTTTCTCATGAAGAAAGAAAGACAATTTTTATGCCCTCTGTTATCATATTCTCTCCCACAATACTTGCATTACTTTTTTCGAAGAAACATGGGGTCATAAAAAGGTTGAAGCATGACTTACCATCCAAGGCTTTTGCTCCACAAGTTTAAGGTGGATCTAGCCTTTAGGGACAGCAAACTAGCCTAACATCCTAGAACTTCATATCTTTCATGCGCAGGTGTTGGACATTGTCAACCTTCTAAACCTTCTCTCTGAACTGAATCTTGTTACCTTCATTCAGCATTTTTAATGCACAATATTCAACCTTAATCTTGCTGGCGAAATCATTTCAACTTTCATCCTTCTACTAAATAAGATTTCAACTTTCATCCTTATAATAAATATTATTCGTAGTATAGTTACCTTAATCTTGTTCCTTCAACACAACAATTAGGCTACACTCATAAGTCATAACGGAGAGGAATATGATATCCTACACCGCTGCACTTATAGCTACAAGGCATAGTCTTTCCAATCCCAGACAACTTTTTTACAAAAAAACACATTGCTATTAGTCTATTACCCACAGTTTGTTCATTACCCCAGCGCAGATGCAACTGATATTTTTTGTTCCTTCTGGTTATGGAATTCAGTCAATTCAACATCAAACTAGCAACTATGCTGTCTAAATATGCTCAACCATTATTTCCAAGCCAAATTCCCAATTGCCAACCCACATACCTATCTGACAAAATTTAATAAAATATTATAAACCCAGATGCAAAAACACAACAGGATTGCACAAACCAAACACAAAACATAAATGCATACAAGTACAACCAAAAGCCTTATCTTATCCCATCACTGCGCATCAAAAGCCCAGAATTTTACCTGATATAAAGATCTGTAATATCGAGAGATAATTGGGCATGCCAATCGGACCTTTCCACCAACCAAACAGCACGGTCCTCTCTGCTCTGCTGAAATCCCAAGCTACTGAGCCACGCTTCAATGCAAGGTAAGCTGTGAGAGTACAAGGGCTTGTTCTTATCCGGAAGCTTATCGAGCCATTCATCTTCTTGGGTCGGAAGCTCCTCCGCTTCAGGTGATTTTGAAGAAACTACGACATGGGTTCTTCTTGGGAAGCTTGAGACATGGTGGGAACATGAACATGGATAGGATTTCTGGAGCAGCGGAGCGTGTGGAGTGGAAAAGCAGATGAATTTGGGAGGAGCCGAGATTGGTATAGAAGAAAGGAAACTACCGAGGATAAATTTGGAGGGATGAATGACAGACATAATTCTTGTTACGATTTATTTGGATGTGTAGAAGAAATTTGTCGGAAAATTTAGAGTGAGAATGTACAATGTGAACAGTTCAGCTCAAGGAATCGTTCTCGGAGAGGCATGGGACTCTGGGGAAGAACAACCCTTGAGTTAGTCCCTCAACTTTATTCTTTTTTTCAATTTCGTCAGTGAACTTGTTTTTCAACTCATTAACCTCATATAAGGATTATTATTTTTATGTTGATTAAACTAAATGGAAAAGGGAAAATCAGGATGCCCTAATATTAAAAATGTCAAGACCTGTAGTAATAGACACATGATAGATTTTATAAAGTTAGGGTCTATACTATATTTCACATATTTAATGATTGTAATTAGACATCATGATTTTCTCTTTCTCCTATACTTAATTATAACACTTGTGTCTTCAATAAGTTTGTGTTATAATCAAAACTCATAACAAATTGACAATACAAGCTATGTAATTAGCATTATTAGGTATATATATATATATTCTAAAAAGAAACTTTATATTTTAAGATACATACAATAAACTTTCTAAATAAATTGTGCATTTTTTAAAACATTGAGTTGGTGGAATACCTTAAGTTCAACATAATGGATGAGACTACAAAGATGTAGTCATAAAGTAAAAGTAAAAAATTGTGGCTGAAAATTAAGATTGGTTAATATGTTTATAAATAGGTTTAAGGCATTCACGTGAGAGTTTGAAGAAAAGAATGCCAGAGTTTTCTTTTCATGGGATAGGCCAACTGAAACCCTTATAGTGAAATGGGTGCAAAGGAGGAATGAGGGTTCGAACCTTGGTCATATGAGTGAGGAAGTATCTTTCTACTAATAGTTTAGTTAGTTATTTTATAAAATACAGGTCTTCCTCATACTAAAGTTTTCTTATTGTTCAACTTAATTATGTTATTATTCAACTTAGGAAGTTTTGAACTAATGTTAGTAACTAACTATAAAAAAAAATAAAAATTCATAAATTGCAAATCACTAAATAGTAATAAATTTTTTTTACCAAACATAATTATTATAGTTAATAAACCAACAAAATAAGGGTTTGAAAGATAGATAATACTCCATAATTTAAATTGTGGATATTAGAACATGAACAAGATTAGTTGTAATTGTCAAATATTATAAGAGAAAGTATAATGAAATTAATCTAAATTAAGCTTTAATTGTTTTCTCTTTTCTAAAATATATAATTATTCCTTAAAAAAAAGGGTGTGAACTAAGACTTGCCAAAAAAAATTAGTATTCACAATTAAAAGATGAAAAATAATAATGAAAATCAACAAACATTTCTTACAGGTTTATTTTGTTTAGTAAGTTATTGTATTAGCAAGTCGAAAATTATTAGATGGAGTAATGGCTCTCAATATTAAGGATTTCATCCCCATTTAATAATTAATTTTGTGTAATTTAATATAATTTAAACTGTATAAAATAATTTTGAAATGAAAAATCAAAATATTTATATTAGGATTGCTTACGAAATTCTTCAAATATTTTTATACAAATACACTTTCCTCAATACAACCCTAAGTGAAAATCAAGATTTCTTATCACCTTAAATACTAGTAATTCTTATAAAATAAAATTGTTTAAATACCTTGAAGAATTTTTTTATTTATTGATTTATTTATGTTTTTTAATATTTTTATTATCGATTTTAATATTTTAATTATTAAAATATCTTGATTTTCTTTATTTGTTAATTCATTACATATACTTAAAAACTTTCATTATCATTATTTAGATATTCCAAATCCCAAAAAGGAGTCA